ACTGCCTCTGCGACCCTACATGATGCTCTTACCACGACGAATTACCTTAGTCTCAGCCATATACGTCACAGCATTTTCTTCCTCCTTGCAAGGATTGATTCATGGAGTTTGGATCATGCCCTTCCTGAACGCAATGAAGCTGCAGCGGCAATTGCTATGAGTGTCACACGCGACCTTCGTCATCAATCCTACATCGCCCGTAACGCTCCGGTGTGGCTTCATCATCTACTCGCGCTGGAGGCTCAGCAATGAGGTATTGTCTCACCCGAAATGGTCAATCCTAATCATTCGTCGCCGAAATGCTCCGGCTTGGCTTCAGCTTTTTCTCACTATGGAAACTCGACAATAATGGGAGTGGGTGAGATTTTCTTTCTTTCTCCTTGTTTGTGTGGTGTCTATTGACATCCTATTTAATTTCTTAATTGTTGCTTTGTATCACAAATTTTTTCTTCCCATGTTCAAGTGTTATAAAAAAAAAAGTTTAGTGATTAGTTAAAGTTAATGTAGAGATGTAGGTATTGTGTATTTTCTCTGCCGCAGCAATAGGTCTTGTTTTTTCAATTGATTAGAAAATATAATGAAAAAAGAGAAACATAAGTGGGTTCTTGACACATGTAAATTGTAAATTGATATCCTAAAAAAACGTACGTTGCATTTAAAATATTTTATAAAAAACCATCGTTACGCTTAAATCTCCTTTACAAACTTATTAAAGACGTTACAGTAATATAAGAAATCTTGTTTTTTTTTTTTGAAGCTAGAACTCTTGTTTGTTCGTCAGACCAAAGCTCAAATTACGTACACAGTGGGGAATAACAACAAAGAAATGGAACCACCAGCTGCAACGGCCGCTGCAGCCGCGTACGGAAACCGCCGCGATGCAGCTGCGGTGAAAGGTTTCAGTAACGATTCAGCCGCTGATCAGACAAACGATTACCAGATAAAAATAAAAGCGTTCCAAACGCCGATGGTAAGGCGTCTAGGAACTGGAGTCTCAGCGATCCAGAATCATGTAGGAAGAGAAGAGTGGTTGGCTATAAACTTTACTCAGTTGAACAGAAGATGAAAGGATCCATTAGAAAAAGCTTTAAATGGTTCAAAAACATTATAGGTTCTTCTTGAAATATTTTTGTCCATGACTTTCTTTCTCAACATATATATAAATATGTAATGGTGAATCTATTCGTGTTGAGTGTGTTAAATATCTGTAACAAATACATGAAACAAGAATTAAGTTTTCGTTCTTAAGATATAGTCTTTGAATGAGATTAGTCTCCATATTTCATGTATTTGATACAGATATTTGTTAATTAAGACTATTACAAGTCTTGCAATACTGATGATAAAAATTTAATAGAGAGACTTGTGAATATATAATATGTTAATTGTGTCTAAATCAAGGAATAAAAAATGAGAGTAATTAAGGGGCACAATGGCATCTCCAACCCTCAGGTTTGTAATTAGCATAATGAGGAGAGAGGTGTGGGCTTGAAGATATGGTAGGGACTTGGATTGCTTCACATGGCTCACACCCATAGCATTTCTTCTCACAAGTTGGTGGCTTTGATCCTATTCTTCTTCCTTTCTCCACCTCTTCTATATTTTTTCTCACATTGGGCTTCAAAGATGGCATATTAGAGCTGTGATATGCACCATGTGGGCTTCTGATCTCTGCAGAGCCAATAGTAACTATTATTAGAAAAACAAGACTGAAACATTCACAAGAACATAAAAATTGATTCTTTTTTTTTTTCTGTAAGGAGATAACCCCAAAACACATGCTGACCAATCTGTAGTTCAGTTTAATATCATTATTTTTATCTTTACCGCTAATCAGAGTAATATTTGGGACCACAGTTTAGAGACTAGTCACTACTACTACAACTACAAGTCACTAATTTGCTCAAACAAGTTAAAACAACTAAAAGTTCAACCTAAAACTGTCTTGCTAACAGAAAACTAAACAGAGAAGTCTTTCCTTCACACTTACATATCCACATAACATATCTACCTGTCATATAGACATACATATACATAGCAATTGTTTGATTGGTAGATTAAGAAAGGTGTAGGAAATAAATTGAACCTGGATACAAAGAAACGTGGTTGAAAGCAATGGGCCTACTTGTTGCACAAACCCAGCTCACTATTTGTATCATCACCACTGTAAGCATACACAGTTTTCTTATTTTTGTCACTTGCATGATGATGATGAATTGAAGATAATGATGATGATGATGGCTACTATGATGTATATAGAGGCTTGAAGAAGAGAAAGATGGAGAAGAAGAAAGAAGAAGCTTGTGGGGTTTAGAGGCTTTTAGGCCTAATGCCTACAACCGTAGGCAAGGTTGTTGCTTATGGGATAAGTGAAGTTATTTTCTCACCAATCTATCAATTCTTACCTTTATTTTGATTAAAAAGCAAACCGATTAACCTATGAGCGAGTTTCTCTTTTTTTTCTCAATTTGTTTTAATTTTTGGGATTTTACAACTCATTGATTGAATATCTTTTTCTGACGTGATTCAGTACATGAAGTAAATATTCGAATCAGAAATCAGAAGATAACAGATAATAATACCAGAGAGAGAGAGTGAGAGTGCTATAGAAGAATATGTGTACGAGTCTACGAGATGGTCCATTCATCTGAACACGCCCTTATGTAATTGTAGCTTTAAAAAACAAATAACACTACTTGTAACTTTTTAATTAGCGGATGATAATAATAATACAAATAGTAAAAAATAAATGTATTTTTTCTATCTTTTTAAGTCTTTTTAAATGGTAAAATAATTTTGTATCTAACAAAATCAAAATCAACCACAGCCACGATATTAATCATCCCCCCAATTCAACATAGGACGTGTGCCCTCTGAACACTCAAACAAGGTCGTAGAATCCAAGAAGTACTATGATAGAAGAGTTGGAAAAAACTTTAGAGATCTCTCTCTCATATGCTCCCTCCGATAAGGCAAGCAATCTGAGAAGTGAGAACCATCATAAGTTAATTTGAGGTAAAGTAAAATTAACATTTATTATTAGTTTTTCTTAGAGATAGAAAGTTAATTTTCTTTTGTTTTGCATAGACAACAGAGCAATTCCTCAGCTCTATGGCCTCATTTCCATTAAGAGCAATAAAAGAAATAAACTAGTAGATGTAGGGTCTCATTTATGAAAAAATCCACAAATATTTTTCTCTATTTTTTTGTGTGATAAATCTATATAATAATGATTCACTTTTGAAGCTCCTAAGGCTATCCACATCAGCAGCCGAATGGGCTCCGTGTATTTAAATTTTAAAAGTTTATAAATTTTTTAAAATGGCTATGAACAATGAATACACTTTAGCAAAGTGGTATAAGGCACTTAATTAAGTCTGCAAGTGTGTGGGTTCAAACCACGCAGCTGTTACATTTTAGTTTTTTCGTTTGGATTATTATCATATGGGCTTTTTAGTTTTAATGTTTTTTTTCCCTCTGGACTTATTGTTTAAAGCCCAAAATAGTGGAAAAATCCTAAAGTTTGACGAACTCAAACCCAAAAAAAATTAAAAATGGATCAAAAAACGAATATCCAAAAAAAAAAAAAAAAAAACGAGTCTCACGCGGCACTATCATGTCCTAATATATATTTATACTGTTAGAATATACATTTTAGTTTTTTCGTTTGGATTATTATCATATGGGCTTTTTAGTTTTAATGTTTTTTTCCCTCTGGACTTATTGTTTAAAGCCCAAAATAGTGGAAAAATCCTAAAGTTTGACGAACTCAAACCCAAAAACAATTAAAAATGGATCAAAAAACGAATATCCAAAAAAAAAAGAAAAAAAACGAGTCTCACGCGGCACTATCATGTCCTAATATATATTTATACTGTTAGAACATATTTCCTAATATATATTTTCAAAAAATTATGTATGTGAAATAAAATAAAATCTATATAATAATGATTCACTTTTGAAGCTCCTAAGGCTATCCACATCAGCAGCCAAGTGGGCCCCGCGTATTTAAATTTTAAAAGCTTATAGTTTTTTTAAAATGACTATGAACAATGAATACACTTTAGCAAAGTGGTATAAGACATTAAATTAAGTCTGCAAGTGTGTGGGTTCAAACCATGCATATGTTATGTATTTTAGTTTTTTCGTTTAGATTATTATCATATGGGTTTTTTAGTTTTAATGTTTTAATGTTTTTTTTCCTCTGGACTTATTGTTTAAAGCCCAAAATAGTGGAAAAATCCTAAAGTTTGACGAACTCAAACCCAAAAACAATTAAAAATGGATCAAAAAACGAATATCCAAAAAAAAAAAAAAAAACGAGTCTCACGCGGCATTATCATGTCCTAATATATATTTTTACTGTTAGAACATATTTCCTAATATATATTTTCAAAAAATTATGTATGTGAAATAAAATAAAATAAATAGTTTTGTTATTTATAAAATAACTATGTAATTTCTCTTCAATTTTTAATAGTTACTATAATTTCATTTTTATCAGATTCCGGCGGATGGATTTCCACAGTCGATGACACCGTAAAGAAAAATACCACATTATTCATGAACAAAATCCAAACTTACAAAAAAACATATCCAAACCTATCTATTGAAACCCAAACAACAAATATTAGCTTAAATTAAAGTTATTTTCAAATTGATAAATCGTTTAGTACAAAAATAAATATTATAAATAAATATTTATATCAAGTTTTGACATCCGATATAAAAACTATTTCCAACATAAAAAAACAATATAGACATCTATTTTATGCACTAAAAACTATATTATAATTTTTTTATTCCTATAAACCTTATTTCGCATATAAATAACATTTAACACATTATATATACAATATTTTCATTTTGCACTTTTGCTACATTCTTTCCATTTCATCATTATTTGGTATTATTAGAATAACCCACTAAACCAACAACCGAGAAAAACACAGATCCCGGCTCCGCGCTTGCGCGGGGGTTATGCAACTAGTGTCCACAAATACTTCTCATGTACATGCATGTCGTCTACATTGAGGTTTTTGATTCTTTTTTGGTGATGCCGATTCCTTCCGTATCGAATCATGACACATACTTCATTTGGAAGAAAGTCAACTTTGAGTTTGGACCGTCCATTTTCTTACAAAATTACTCTTAGTTCATTGCTAACCAAATTTAATCTTGGTAACTGTTTGATTTAATGAAGAGTACATGTTATTGCACTATCTGTGTGTCATTTATCATTCAAGTCTTTATAAACTCTACATATTTTTGTAAAGTATATTTATTTATACAATATTATAATGTACGTGTTCAGTGACAAAAGTTATATCCTTGCATTAAGCAGCGTAGGCAGAAGGCTTGATGGTGTCAGCTCGAATAAATGAATGGAAATGGACAGATCGTATTACTATTTTTAGAATATGGTCCGTAGAATTTTCATAAAATTGACTGATCAATTAGTTTCTAGTTTTGGTTAGCGCCAAGCTCACACGAAGTATGAAACGTTACTCTAAAAAGGAATCGTAACAGTTCAGTTTTCTATTTCACTGTTTTAGCAATTTCTCTACATCAAGTAAATTAATATATTCCTCCTACCCCCTTTTTCCCCTACTTTCTACAAATTCGTTTACCAACGTAAAAATGAATTTATTAGGCATCTACCAGATTTGAATATCCTCCAAAAAGTAAATGAATAAAGAAAACTGTTTAAAAGTACTCCACATTTGACTTTAGTAAAGCAAATTATTTACATTTGACTCGGATTCATACTTTTATCTTACGAGTATTGTTGTTTCTGTGACAAAAAAAAAACTGATTGGCTATGAGTGCAGTGTACTGACACCTGGAGATAGCTGGGTTAATGTCATTGTGATGTGATTAGTCAATTTCTACTTTTATTCTTCTTTTGCTTTTGGTGAGTGTCTTATTTTGGGAGGAAATGTTATATTTCTAATAAGATAACAAAATATTAGACCAAGTTAAATAAATTATGGTTTAACACATGGGTCAACATTTACTATCTTTTTATCAACTATATTATATAATCAGATCATATGACATATCTACTGGAGTGTTAATTATCCGAGTACTTCAGTCCTCGATACATCTCAATCAAAATATAGTTTTTCGACGGATCTCTAAAACTAATATACTCAATACATTCTTAATGGTGTTGTGTCTCAAGTTATAACGACCAGATATACCAAAAACTTTACAGGATTTTTTGACTTTTTTATATATCCTTTATGTTTTAATCTTTTCAAATATGTTAGGACCCAATTCCCATAAAATCATGTCTCCACTACTGATTTCGATTTAAAGTTCGTCTGTGAAAAAGCTTTTGACATATAATGGATCGTATTGGATATGGATATGAGGATCGTTTGATATTATAGAGAGAGTCATGCAGTTGCAATCTTTATCCCCATAGGAACTATGAAAGTGAACGGTGAACCAAATTATGGTGGAGACATGACGAGAGCTTCCTTCTTGTGATCTGTGTGGAAGCTTTTATATTATGTCCAAGGAACTTTCATCTACTTATACAATGTATTTTCCCATTATGTATACATGTGTGGACATATAAATGATAAATGGACCTACCCATTATTCGAGCTGAACGGATTACTCGATAAATAATTAAACCCTAGCTCACATATGTTGATAGTTTAGTGATGTTCAACCTATCTAATTTACTGATGTTCAACTTCAACCTATATATCTAACTACTTTAAATCATAAATCGATTGTGTAATTTGATTCACAAAGTCCTATAAGAACGGCTACCGAAAACCTGACGAACATCACAAAACTATATCGACTCTTTTTACAGGGGTATAACAAACCACATTAATCATCTTAGTTTATTGCAATCATGTTCCTGAATTGTCAAGAACAAGATAAATTAATATCAAAACTACATGTATGCCTTTTTATAATGCAGAGAGTCCATCTGAAGGAAGTAGGATGGGATCAAAGAAATTGGTTAAGAGGTCAGTTTCAGAACCACCAGAAAAATATGTGTCAAATTGAGAAAACAAGGGAAGTTTCCGACAGGATCTCGTGTCCGTTGAGCTTTGACTTCCTTAAACAGCATATAACCAAATTTTACTTCGAAAGAGTTGAACTTATTGCAATTTTAGGGTTTTGTTATCTTCAAGTGTGCTTCACACCAAGACCAAAACAACTGGGTTCTCGAGTTTCTTTTCTTCAGAACTAGGTGTTTTACGTACCGAACATCTTGAATTATAACTACACAACATAATGATCACTGAATTGTTTGGCACAAAAGAATGTTGACAAATTTATCCATAAAGACAGTTTCACAATCAAAATTTGATAATCTATTAGAGCATCTCCAAAAAAACATTATATAACTTCCAATAAAGACTGCTTTTGCTCTTTAAAAAAGAATTTCAAAACTTCAAATTTGTATTTGTATTTTGATCCTTGCAATTACAAAGAAAAATTAGAATTCATAAATATTTTCTCGTTTATTATTTTATCCTTCAAATTAGTTTTAAATTTCTTATAATTTACGTTTTACACATAAAATTAAACAAAAATTTTAAAACAAAATTTATGATATTTTAAAACTAAAATTGGACAACAAGAATATTATAAAAGAAATTTAATATTTGCCTATAGTATAATATTATAAGAATAGAATTAGACACCAAGAATGTGGTGTTTTGTTTAATATTTAATTATGTATTTGTATTTATAAATTTATATTTTAGTGTAAGATTTTATTAATTATTATTTTGTATAGTTTATATATATATATATATATATGTGTTATTTATAAAAGTTTTATGGATTTACATTAACTAATATAAGAACTATAGTGTAAAATATAAATAATTTAAAATTGAGTTTGAAGTTTTGATTTGGAGAGAAATACTTTGACACTTCAAATATAGAATTTTAGAAACTTCAAAATAGAGAATTTTTTTTGGAGAGACTCTTAATAGCTTAACAACTTTAAAACTTCTAGGATTTACATCCCCCAGCCCCCCGGGATTAAACCTGGGGTTTTCAAATAAAAAACATTAAAACTTCTAAGATTTAAATCTATTAACAAGTGCATTAGCGTTCGTTTAATTATGAGATTTGTTAGCTAATTGCTCACTAAAAACGAAAACGGCTAAGGGAAAGAAAAAAATCGAGTGAACCACAGAGCTTAAACTAGGAAGGCCTTCTCTCTAATTTTTTACTTTACTCTAATTTTTTGCTATATCAGTCTTGAAATTATTTACCCTATTCTCTTACGATAATAATATGACTTTCGAACTAATATAATAATGTGCAAGGAAACGATCGTAAAAATTATTCTAAACATTTTGACTTCAATCGTTGCTATTAACTATTACTACAGACACTACATTCTAGTTGTATATATAGGAATTAACAGTTACCGATATAAGTTTACATTATAGCAATCTAAATTTAGCTGTATATTATTTGGCTTCTTCTTCTGTAAAACTAAAAAGGATCGCATAAGATTCCTTTTGGAAATCAATATGTCCTACGTGATGCGCGTAAATAATGATACTATAGTAAAAAAATTTATTTCATTATTATTTCAAAACATCCCTTTTGGTTCTTGAATAACATCAGAGTAAAAACTATAATTATTTTGCGAATCCTTTCTTGGCATTTACAGTACCATGGAAATATCCTGTATGTACTGTAATATTATTTGATAGCAGGAAATGTATGGTGCTTTTTTATTGAGTAATGATCAATACAATAATACATACATGATATTTCTATATATTTGGAGACATTTATTTTTTGCAAGTGACAGTAATTAACTAATTAGCAAGACTATATGTATGGAGAGTATATGCTGATATTTGATTTACATTTTGAGAAAATATGTTCTTCTAGAAGCAAAAAGCCAAAATGTATAGAAAGTTATTGTCCTTTGATGGCTCATCAAAAACAGAAACAAAAGTGTGAAAGCTCTTTAATAGTTGGCATCATCTAAGGCAAAATCAAAAGAATCTTATGTTTGGGCCTATTGCTTCGGTCACAAGCATTAAATTCATCCTACGAGTTAAATTAATAGCTTTACTAAAAAGTTGGATTTATTTCAATATTTCTATGTCCTGAACAATATTAATGTCAATTCAGCAATGTTAGGTTAGTGAAGCAAAGATAAGAAGTATGTTTTATGTAACATAAGTAGTGTGTTTGTTCAAAAAAGAATCACAAGTAGTGTGACTTAAAAAAAACATAAGTGTATATTATTTTATTTTTTGATAAATTAAACGAACGTTAATGCACTTGTTAATATATTTAAATCTTAGAAGTTTTAAAGTTTTTTTTTTATAACCCAAGGTTTAATCCCTGGGGCTGGGGGGGGGGGGGATGTAAATCCTACAAGTTTTAAAGTTAAGTGTATAGTATTTTGGTAGATTTATCCGTAAAATTATATATAGTACATTACTCATGAATAAATAGCGGATTAAATTTCGAACGCACTAAATTGAAATTATTTATCTTATTGATTTATTATGGAAAGTAATACGATCCCACTTGTCCACGTGTTTTTAATCGCTTTCCTAAATGAAAAGACACAACTAATTTAGTGTTAGTGTTAACAAAGAGAAAATTAGATTCAGTGTTGTTAACCAGTAACTTACGGGTTGCTAAATGAAATTATGGCTTTCAAAATGTTAATACTATCAAGTTATTCTTTAAGAAGACGATATTATCTATTCGCTAATGTATTCTCTTCACATTTTCTTAAATCGTGTTATGTTTTAAAGCAAGCTATAGTTAAGCAAAAGAAAGAGGTAGAGTTGTGTATTTTGTATTCTTTCCGCAATTGTTTTGGTTCTTGATTAATTTATTATTATAGTCTTTGTTTGGGTGTTAAACGATTTCATATTTTATCATATTTTAGTAGTGAATATTAACTATTTGGATGAAATATTTAGTGTTAACAAAACTAGTAATTTATGTATCTTATCTCGTTTAAATAAAGTATATATATAAGATTATAATTATGAAGCAGTTGGTTTAGCGTCAATCTTATTTTTTAGAATAGTTAAATCTTTTGTCTTAGAATATAATACATTCAGTTAATATTAAATGGAATATATGTTTTTTGATGGTCATTAAACTGAATATGTGTATCGTTGCATCCGAATCTCTATGTACCAGTAAAAATTATGTGGTATGGTATGCATTTTTGGTTTAGGAAAATTTATTTTTTTCTAGATAAATATGTATTTTTAGCGGGAAAAGAAAATCGGATTTTAAAAATGCTATGAATATAGATCGATTGTAAAGTTATTAATTCACATAATAGTATACAAATTCTAAAATTATATTTGACTTAATTCCGTTTTTCTCTTTTTGCTTTCTTCAAGCTGATTCATGTTTGTTCATAACATGTATCATGCTATATGTATACAGAATATGACATGATATATATAGATTATGAATCTATGATATGTTGATGCGTTTTGATTTTGTTTCTAGTTCTACATATAGTATTTTGATTAAATTTAATTATATTGCTTTTCTCTTTAGCTTTTCCCTTTTACAGCGACATCGGATGATAATCCAAAGTTCTTATGTATTAGTTGATGAATAAGAGACGTTGACAAAAGAAATGTTAATGAATAAGAAACCATAATAACTGAGAATAGCAGTTCTCACTTGCGACTAGCTGGCATATGTGTTTTAGTTCAGTAGACGATAATCACTGTCCTTACTCGGTTGATTCACGGACGATCTGAGCTCGTTTTGATTTCTTATGTAGAAGCTCATGAAAAAAACAAAAACAGTTCAAAATTTATTCATATTTATATCACAATAAATTTTAATTGATGGTTCAAAGATTATGCGTTAGTAAATAGAGTCAGTGTACTCTAATTTATATTAGCGATGATATCACATGAGAAGTCACTAGACTATCAATTCGAATGCCAACTTTTCATGAAGGTATGTGGATTTGTAGTTTCTAATGTTAAGATTGATCAGCTTGTTTCCCCCTCTGAATAAATGACGTTGTTATTGTTGTGAGCAGATCTATAAGCTTGACATAATGATGATTCACTTTTATCTATGTAACTAAATTAACTTCTACTTCAATAGTAAAATATAAAGAAACATTTTCACGTTTTCGTGTGTTTAATATACTCACGTTGTTAGAACTGTTTACATGTAGTGACATCAACTCTTAAGTCAAATTAAGAATCTAATATATAAAGCAATGGAGCTCTTTATGTCAAACTTTAAACTTTGCTTCCTTTGATGGCAATCATATATATCATTATTTTACTTAGAGGCAATCCGTTTATATGAATGTCCTTCGACTTAATTATTGATTGATACAACTTACATATTTCACTGTAGGATAAAGTTTTTGTGTAACTACAATTAATTTAATCATCAAGGATTATTATGAATGTTTAAATAATAAGAATACCCAATGCTCTACATTAATCGAAATTTTAATTAAGAAAAAGTTACATTAAGAACTAAATTTATAACTGAGTCATAGGACCTGCACAGTCTGCATGAGCAGCACGTGTCTGTCTAGAAGAAGACAATGGCCGTGATTCTGTAACAAGCCACACAGGCTCTCACTGAGAGAAACTTCAGCTTTTAGCCTTCTAACCTTTTATAAACACAAAACCCTAAAAAGATACACTGGCCACTCTCGTCTTCAGTGTGCTAAAAAAGCTCACCTCAATAAATTCATAATAATATTACTTTCGTAATATCTTTAATATGTCAACTCATTTCGTTTTTAGTCATTAGAAAAGTTCAAATTATTGTTAGTTTAACTTACATAGTATAATAAATTTATAATAATATTACTTTGGTTATATCTTTAATATGTCAACTCATTTCGTTTTTAGTCATTAGAAAAGTTCAAATTATTGTAAGTTTAACTTACATAGTCCTAATGTTATAGAATTCAAAAGAGTAATATTGGGTCCACAAAATTAGGTGGTATATTATTATCTATTAGTTTGGCAATTAATAAAAGTTTTTCTCCAGCCGTCATTTCTTTCTCATTTTAAGTGTGTTGGAACTGTGTATTAGTTTCCCCAGTTTACAATATTATAAGTTTGTACGACCCTTCAACATTGTGCAAACATTCTTAGAGAGAGAGAGATAAATAGGGAGAAGGAGAGAGATAACTAGTGAGAGAAAGAGAGATGGGCCATCACTCGTGCTGCAACAAGCAAAAGGTGAAGAGAGGGCTTTGGTCACCGGAAGAAGACGAAAAGCTCATCAACTACATCAATACATATGGCCATGGATGCTGGAGCTCTGTTCCCAAACATGCAGGCATATATATCGGTTTTTGTTTGTTGGATTAATATCTACTGACAAAAAAGTCTATGTCGTTGGTTTTGATCTTTGTGTGGGTTTTTTTCTGTGTGTTTAATTAGGTTTGCAGAGATGTGGAAAGAGTTGTAGATTAAGATGGATAAATTATCTAAGACCTGATCTTAAACGTGGAAGCTTCTCACCTCAAGAAGCTGCTCTTATCATTGAGCTTCATAGCATTCTTGGTAACAGGTTGTTACTTAATTAACTTTACATGTAGAACTATATGTTAAAACTAAATTTTCATCAAGCAATTGAACTATTTTTTTAATCATATTTTTTTTGTTATGGATTTTTGATAGATGGGCTCAAATTGCTAAACATCTACCTGGAAGAACAGATAACGAGGTCAAAAACTTCTGGAACTCAAGCATAAAAAAGAAGCTCATGTCACACCATTATCACCACCATCATCATCATGCCTCTTCAATGGCGAGTTTGCTCACTAACCTTCCTTATCACAACGTATTCAACGCTACTCCTGGCCACGATGAAGGTTCAAGATTCATGTCCAATATCATCACTAACCCTAATTTCGTCACTCCAAACCACCTCCCTTTTCCTTCTCATCATGTTATGACTCCACTGATGCTCCCATCTAGAGAAGGAGACATCAAGTTTCTAACCACTACCAACACAAACCAACCTCATCATCAAGATAATAACCTTTACAACAACCTCGACATTTTATCAGGCACACCATTCATAAACAATCATCATCATCACCATCATGATAATGATCCCCAATGGCCATCACTACCAGATCTCCCAGCGAGTACCATCTCCACGTTCCACGATTATGACGATGGTGATAAACTCAACGTGTTTGTAACACCATACAACGATAATGGTGATCCTCGGAGCTTCCCATTGGTGGCCACAAAGTTATTATGTGGACAAGTTCTTGAAGGCAAAGCAATTTCACAAGACCACGGCCTTCTTCTCCCAACAACGTACGATTTTCAAATGTCTGGTGATCATCGACGAGTGGACTCATCATCATACACTAATCACATGATCATACCATCATCATCATCCTCTTCATCGCCAATCTCTTGTGGACAGTACGTCATCACTTAAAGAAAAACCCTAGTCATCTCTATCTACACGGGATTTCTAGACATGAGTACGTAATAAAATACATATATATACAAATAATCAGTCACATGTGTTGATATAACTCTTTTCGATATCATATAATCTACACTATAGTCTATAGTATAAGGAATGTTACATTTAATACTTTTTAGAAGTATTGCCTTGTCTTTGTTTAGAAATATAAACATAAATGTTGCTAGTTCTTTTTTTTTTTAAGGTTACTCCTACATTATAGACAATTAATGAGCAGATATAAACACACACATATATATATGTATGTGAACGATGTACAACCTCTCTATCTCGTCACCTACGTACACAATTGTGTTTGTATATGGTCAGTTTGTTTCAGCTTCTGTATTGGAGATTATTGTCTTCATCTTTGTGTTTGTCGTTTATTTGATTCCCTCACTCTATCTATGATATCTTGTGGGGTCAAAAGTGTGGACTGTCATAATTTAATGCAAGTTTCATGTACAATTATCATTGGTCAACTTTGAGATTTTTTTTAAAAAAAACTTTGAGATTCTCTTTTGATCATTTAAAAATCATAGTTGTGAAAAACACAATGATTACCCTTGACTTAAACATCTGTTTCGCTATTAAAAGGTTAAAAGCTACTAATATGATGGTAACTTGGAAGAATCATATGTACAAAAAAAGATTCATTGACACTAAACTATCCATTCAAAAAGGAAGTTAACATATATAAGAAGTGTTTCTTAACTTTTAATTAAAAAAAAATCTAAGAAACGTCTCTTAAAATTCTTATTTAAGAGTCGATTCTTAGTTATTTTAGTTAAAAGTTAAAAAACAGTAGTATAATTTTTATTTAAAAGTCGATTCTTAGTTATTTTAGTTAAAAGTTAAAAAACAATAATATAATTTTTATTTAAGAGTCGATTCTCAGTTGTTTTAATTAAAAGTTAAGAAACGGTTCTTATATTACGATAGAAATCTCACCTTAAAACCCTCTAATAAATATGACTTTAAAGTGTTAAACAAAAAAATAGCTGGACTTTAACAAGAATATAAGAGCATGTGCAATGGGCAATCCTTAGGAGAATCTTTAGGGAAATATTAATTTTATAATTATTGGGTCCCATGAATAGTTAAGTATTTTATATTTAAAATCATTATTTAAGGATTGATCCTTGTACTATTCACGGGCTCCACTGCACACGTGGCGATACGCGAATGGTCACTTTAAAAAAAAAAAAAATCTAAAATATCCTTACATAATCTGAAATACCCCTTTTCGTAAGGATTCCCCTTAAGGATTGCTGTTGCACATGGTCTAAGATATCAAAACATGGATATCAATAATTTGGAGTTAACCGGTCTATATGATAACCGGAGAATTCATAGAAAGGTTAAGAGATTATATCTTTGGTTGCTTTTTTGTTCATAATCAGACATTCACCCTCCTACAAGAGAGACGTAAGAGAAGTATTTTGTGTATTATCAATGTGCTACAACCACTTTATAACTTGATCCCTAGCAGCAAATGGAACTAAACCACTTAAGTGTAACTAACTTTAATTTTGTTACCAATCTAGCTACGGTGAGAGTTCTTGTCCCTGGGGAGATAACAAGAGTCTCTCTATGTAACAGAACAAACATCAACAAGAGTCTCATGGTCTACACTATTCATAGTATCCAACTGCTGTTGCAGCATCGCGTATATCATATGACTCGACGAGTGAGAAGAATCAGAAACCGTAAACCAATGAGCTTGTTTACCAATCACAATACAGCTCAAAGCCGGTTCTTTCTTAACCCCTCTATCTCTCATCAGCTCTCTAACCTCTTCACCACAAGAATTAACTCCAGACTCGTTGTAGATATTATGTAACAAAACATACGAGCCAGAGCCTTCAGGCTCGAGCTCCATCAATCTCTCTGCAACGCGTCTCCCCAACACACTGTTCTTGTAAACCCTGCAAGAGCTCAACAACGCCTTCCACATCACCGGATGGTTTTGAAAACCTGAGCTCAATATCAAGCTCTCAGCGTCTGATAACCTCCCTGTTCTACCTAAGAGATCGACGATGCAAGTGAAATGTTTCTCGTTAGGGCTAATCCTGTACTCGTTCCACATGGCTTGGAAGTAGTTTAGTCCTTCCGTGACTAATCCTCCGTGGCAACAAGCTATTAGAACAGCGAGAAACGCCTGCTGGTTCGGTCTGAATCCACATGTTTTCATCGTTTCAAAGAGGTTTAAGGCATCGCTAGCGAAACCGTGCTGCGCAAGACATGAGATCATAGCTGAGTATGTTGCAATGTCTGGACGTTCGACCTCGGAGAATATCTGACTCGCGAGCGCCATGTTACCTGATTTTGCGTACATAGAGATGCTTGAGGTCTTGACGCTGGTGAAAGCATCGATTCCACTCTTTATAGCATATCCCTGAACCTGCTCTCCTGAGCTTAATGCAGCAAAATCAGCACAAGCACTCATCATAAGCGAGATTGTATACTCTTCTGGTCTTAAACAAGACAAACAAAGTTGTCTGAACATATCAAATGCACTTACAAGCTCCTCGTTCTGGACATGGCAATCAATCATAGACGTCCACGAGGCGATATCTCGCTTCGACGTTGAAGCAAAGCATCTCATCCCATCTTCAGGTGAACCCATTAACGCATAGAGCTCAATGAGAGCGCTACCAATGAACTCATCAGACTGAAAATTATTCTTACATATCAGAGCATGGATCTGCTTTCCATATTCCAAGGCTTTTCCGATACAACAAGCTTTAAGCACAGCTGAAAACGTCGTTGGAGAGAGTTTCAACCCCTGTCTTTGCATATCCATGAAGAGCTTGAAGGCTTCACTACAAGTTATGTCATCCGTATGGAGAAAGCCAGAGATCATTGCATTATAAGCAACCACATTCTTCACTGGCATCAAACTAAAAAGCTTTATAGATTCTTTCAAACTCCCGTTTTTCGCGTACATGTCAAGTAACGCAGTACCAACAACTAGATCAAACTCCATCCCTAACTTAGCAACATAACAGTGTATAACCATACCATTTTCTTTCTTCAGGTTTATACAACAAGCTTTTAACACACTTCCCAAAACATAAGTAGTCAACTTCATACCCTCTCTATGCATCTTAGCCAACATACTAAGCGTTTCCTCCACCGCAGCCACACGAACCAATCCAGAGATCAAAGAGTTCCATGTCTCTTTATCCTTCTCATCGGTTCGATCAAACAAGGACATTGCTTGATCAACCTCCCCACACTTACAATACATGTTAATCAAAACATTAACAACAAAAACTTCCTTAACCAAACCGTTTACAAGAACCAACGCATGTAACAACTTCCCTAACCCAAGATCACACTTTTCTCCACAAAACCCCAACGCACCAGCGTAAGTGAACTTATCAAGCTTCAAATTGGAATCTCTAGCTTCTAGAAACAGTTTCATTGACTGTTCGCGAAAGCCCATTTGGCTGTACCCGGAAATCAAGGAGTTGAAAGTGATGATGTTTCGTTCAGGCATTCTATCGAACACCTTGCGTGCGTGACCTAATTCTCGGGTTTTGCAGTACATGTTGAGGAGGTTGTTGAGTAAGTAGAGGCAGGGTTTGAAAGAGGACTTGATCATGTGTGTGTGTGCGAGCTTGCCCAGAACAGGGGAGCCTGAGTTCGCGGATTTTTGAATGAGTTTCGTGTAGCCTTTGGAGTCTAGAACCATGTTCTTTGGGTTGCATAATGAAGAGAGAAGACTGTAATTGTATCCGAATTGTTTGGTGTAAGGAATGAAGAGAGACTTGTGAGTAGTGTTGTTGAACTTGAACGATGTCTTTCCTTGGAGATGTAACATGTTTTCCCATCGCATAACTAAACTTAACTGCTTTCTTGTCTGAAACACAGTCTCGTGTAGTTTTCTCAATGAAACGGCGTCGTTTTTTCTCGGATCTGGGCTTCTATATACAGTTTTAGTTAATTGCTTTGGGCCTCATTACACCTCACTTTTAATAAACATCATATGAGTGACGTTGAGAAATGCAAAACTATATCTTAGACCATTTTTTACGTTCATATGCATACTCATGCAGGTGCCAAAGCTTTCTTGTATGTTCTAGACGAAAGATTCTGATGCAGACAAAAAAAAACTCTGTGATTTGTTTGCGAGATGTGTAGTTATGTGGTTTATTGTATCGGATAAAAAAATGTTTCTTGAAAGAAAAACAAACGGTTTTGTTGGTTATGTGAAATTTAAGATTTGTTTGTTATTGAAGATAATTTCTTCAGTTTCTCAGTGCTATATTAATACAAGCTATTTGAACTTGAAATATGATCTTTCATTCAGTTTTTTTTGTTTGTTTGTAACAGATCATGTAACATTTATCTTGAAGATTCTATGTCTCTTTTGACATCCACCTATAACAAGTTTTGACCAAATGAGATACAAAAAAATCCAAAAGAAAACAAATTAAAGTGATAACAGAGGTTCTTCTTTCACATTTAATTGTGAGCACAAGTTTATTCTCTTTACGTAAGCGATGTATGCTCTTTGTTTCAGTGTCAATGAGTCTGTTTTTATTATTGAACGATCTTAGTTTCAGTGTCAATGAGCCTGTTTTTATTATTGAACAATCTTATTTCATACATAAGCTTTAAAAATGTGTTTTATTCCATCAAATTCTTGTGTAACAATTATCTTGAAGATTCCATACTTCTTTCACATCTAATATTCCTATAACAAATTTTACCAGATGAGATACAAAAAAAAAAAAATCCAAAAGAAAATAACTTAAGTGAAAAAAAACTATCGAGATCGATCAGTGAGGGGAGAATTTGTTACTTGTTAGCCCTAGAAAAATAATTCGTAAATCAAGAAAAAAAAATCCAATAGACCAAAGAAAAAAATAAAAAAATAACTAAGAAGAAATGATGTATTGTGTGGAAGGCAAGTCAAGTTTCCGTTCTTCAACGAAACCATCATGATGATGATGCTCGAACTCGTGTGTTTCGCTAGAAACCTCTTCCACAGGCTTAACATCCTCACACTCATCAATGAAGCCACCCTTCATATTCACCGTCGTTGATGAATCTTGAAGTTGAAGACACCACATGTCTTCTTGTAACCCATTAAAGTTTCCTGAAGAACAATATTGTTGTTGTTCTTGTTGCTGTTGAATTGGTTCTTGGACATGATGAAGAGGGTAACTGTAAGGAATCAAGTTGTTGTTGATGTTTAGATCACAAGAACTCGAAAAACTCGAGAGATCCTCAGGTTCTTGAATCTGAATATGCGGTTCTTGATGGTGACTACGGAACACAGCCAATTGCTGAAGAATCATATCCAACTCGCTTTTTGAGTATTGGATCTGGTACTGAAGCTTTCTAATGATGCTATAGCAACCTTCAATGGGATCATTAGCACGTGCATCGGATTGAAACATGATTGTATACATAGCCGCGTCTTTGTCAGGAGGGCTAAGGTCTTTGATGATTTTTGTGATGTTGCTTACACCAAAGAGCTTATGGGCGTTGAGGAACTGTCGGTGACGGTCGTGAGGGAAATAAGGAGCGAGAAGACAATCAGGAGCGCATTTTCTACGTTGGTATTTGCAAGCCGCGCATGCTTGGTTTGTGGTGTTGTTGTTGCTGGTGCTGCTTGAAGGTTTTAATGGTGTTGGTTTGGGATGTAATGAGAAGACAGAAGAAGAAGGTTTGCCTGATGGCATTTTTGTTTTTGTTTTGATGGGTTTGCGAGTTATCGGTTCCTTAGTTTTCTCCTGGTGGAAAGGAAATACAGGAGAATGGAGAGAAAATGAGGGAGGAAAGACAAGATGATATAAGAGAGAGGCAATGAGACAAGAGAGAGAAAGAAAGAGTTTTTGACCTATTCAAAGTCATGGGGATAGTGTCTATATTTAGAAAAGTGATAGAAAGTGAAACATGGTCATGACCTAATGGTGAAAAAATAGAAAAGATGACTGGAATTTTCTAAAAATTGGCTATGTATAGGTTATGATATTATGTGTATGGATGTAATAAGAAGTTAAAAGTATATGGTTAGATGAGTTTGCTATTAAAACCTGTTTTTATTTTGTTTCTCTTCATCTGCAACCATTTTTCTCTTGCTCATATACATCATTAACAAGTTATTGGATTCAAAGCAATAACCAGAAACTTAACAATAAATTTATGTTTAGGGTTAAGCTTCCATTTACAGCCTATATTCTATAATAAAACAAACAGGCATGGCGCTTCACAATGATTTCATAACAAATACCATAGTTAGTTTATTTGTTCTTAATCTGGCTTCTTTGACTTTAGAATGTGAGACAAGCTCCACATTATAGAAGAGTCCGAAAGCAGAAAAACAAAGAACGATACAAGCTGTCATAACAGTACAGTAACAAAATGCAACACATCTAAACGTATTTAGATGCCACAAGATATATGATGAATACTAACGCAAACATAAAACATTCAATTCTTTATTAGATCATAAATATCAAAACACAAATTAATTATTTTTCGAAGATACTTGATGCAACAGACAAATGTAAGTATTGTTATAATTACTTTTTATTTTCTTCTAATGTTCTTGGTTGGTTGATTTGCAGTTGCACTAAGCTTGGAACATAAGAAGAACACACAAGTGGACAGCAGAAATTGGGGACTACATGTCCAAATTTGAGTTGTTTTCCAGTCTTCAGAGCCTCTCCTATATTCACAGATTTAAAGTATTCATCTTGTCCGATTATGTTGGCTGTTTGGTTGCAACATGCCACGATCTGTTCTTTATCATCCTCATCTAGATCAACAACCACAACAACTTTCTTCTCCTCGTCAATGAAAAAACTCCCAGCTAGATGATTAATCTTATAACCAGCAGAGGTGAATCTCAAGAACTTGCTCCACGAAACTGCACCTGGATCAATTTTATTCGTGACCCAAATATCCAATTCTTGACCACTCATACATTTTTCAAATAATACCGCAAGCTGCTCTTCTCTGACACAAGATAGAGACACATATTTGTCTAAACCATGAGAATACAACGGCAGAGGCAACCTCTTTCCGAATCTCTCTGTTGTAAAATCAAAAGAGAGCAGATACTCATCATTGCTTTCTCTACCTACTCTTCTTCCATTTCGAGCCAAAAAATAAGTATGTCCCTTCAAAGACACGCCGCGATGATAATAATCTATTCGGAAGTCGGTATTGACATTAGAAACATTCCATGTATTAGAGCTCAAATCATATATTTCATAACCCAAAACCTTGTCCTCGTTGACGATGCCATACTCACCAAAAATCCTCAAGATTTTGTGGTTACGGTTCTTGTCATATCCAATAGCGTACCTGTCCAACCTGTGGAAACTGTTTCTTGGTTGGATCCACCTCGTTTGCACTAAATAAGGATTCCATATCAAGAGCCTTGACCGGTCCTTAGTGACGCATAGCAATAAGCCATCACAGTGAAAGATATTAATGATCTTTACTTGGTCAAGTATACTTACTTCATTTATAGATGGATCAACGAAATCTGCTTCGTTTCCAATTCCTTGGAGATCAAACTTCATCGAGCAGACCTTATTATCCTTCATCATAAACCCTAGAAAATGCCTCCTCCCTGCTGTTGCTGTTTTACCAATAATCCGGTTTTTGGATAATTCATTCCACTGTTTGCAAGTGGAACGCATTGCACTTAGAGATGTCAACGCAACCCTAGACAATATCTCCTCTACCAAATCATCTGGAAGACTGGACATTGTAGCAATCTTTTAAAGAGTTTGCAAAGTAGGGTATGATCTTATTATGTATGACCGCTTTATATATAGGCTTTGCTATCTATTAAATTGCTTGGTGTTTCTTAGATGAATTAGGCTTTGTATTGTGAATCACTAAATCTTGAACATTCATTGGTGGATTTTTTTCCAAATAGTATTCTAAACAAATTAATATTAATAGTGAGTACAGATTTCATACTTAAAAAAAAACTAACATGTTTACTGAAATATCTATAATCTGTATCTAAGAATTTTAAATTTGAGATACCATTCTATTTTTGCTTTATTTTTTTTTCTAGATGAGATACTCTTCTATATATGCCAACTAGTGTTTTCACGCCCGACCCGGACCGCAGTCCGACCGCTAAACCCGGTGACTCAATAAGTAATTTGGTTCGGGTTTAAGAAATATCCACTAATTAAAACTCGATAAAACCCGCTACAAACCCTTAAACTCGGTGACCCGGTTATCGGTTAAACCATCAGATGAATCAATGAATTATTTTTATTTAGTTTTGTTAGTTTTTTAACTATTTTATTAAATATTTATTATGTACACAAAATCAGAAGTTAGATTTTTACTTTTTAATTTTTAGTTTTCTCATAAAATTATGGTTTTTTATGCTATCGCATATATTCTATATCTTCTTCAATTTTCTTTTAAATTTTTTGTTGATTTCGTATGTGGTAAATAACATTTGATTTTAATCTCTAGGTTTTAACTTATATAATACCTTGGTCTAGTGGTAATGGAACTCCAACTGGAGTGCCTGCCCCTGGGGTTCGAGTCGCCTTAGCCACCTTCCCGTCCCCGGATGAAAAGTTTCGTGGGAATTAGTCTAGATTTACCGTATAGGATTCCCACGGATATAAAAAAAAAACTTTTATCATATAACTTCATTTTTATTTTAACCACATGCTTTTATTTTATTTTCTTGATTTTACATTTTTATAAATAAATAGTATTTTTGTTAATCAAATTTATTGATCTTATTTAATTTTGAAAAATCATATAGAATATTGACTAAATCATTTATTCATTTTGATGAACATTTCATTATATATGTCTCTTAAAGAAAACTCTAGATCCGCACATTCGTATTATGCTGCCGCTAGAAAAGTTTAGCCGATTGCCAGCAAGTTAGGTAGACAAACAAGAATGGATGGATTTTGTTGATTGTATGAAATTAAAAATGTCCTACTTTCGATGCAGCTTGGTTAGAGAAATCTGGTCTGGTAATCTGGTATCGAATAATACTTTTGAAAATTTTGTAAGATGGTGAATCCCTTGTTGCTTTTTTTTTGTTTTTTGTTTTTTTTTTTTAATCAAAAGTGAATCCCTTGATGCCACTAAAATTATAGAATAAAGAAAATGAGCTGCGTCATTATATAGGATTGCTATGCTGGTACCAAATTTACAGAACTAATATATATAATGAAACAGAACAAGCACCAATACTTTGTTTATGCAAGAGAGGAGATAGCTCTATATCCCACTCAAACTAATATGAGGAAACAAAGTTGGTCTAGATAAGAGAAAAAATCCTACGATTTCAAATCGTACTACTTCTCTAACATGATGATCTTTATATTCTTGTATACTATGTTGAGGGAAAAGATAGTGCCTACAAGCTTAAAATATTCAAACTCGTGTCGTTATTTTGCTCACCATGCTTCCTATTATTTCGTTCCCTCCAAATTGAGTGGATCGATGTCTGGAAGACATAGGGTAGGTGGAATAGACTGGCCTTGTCCCTCGTAGTGTTCACCAGTGTCCAAAACTAAAAATCTTTCGTTTTCAAATTTTTAAAAATGTATAATAGTATCAATGTAACTAAAATTCTCCCTTTACCACGTCAATAAAAAGAGAAAAATATCATGAATGACTAATTTTTGAAGGGTTATGTGGATCATGAACCTTTTTCTACAAACAACACACTGTTTAATTCTCTTTAAGTCATCTCTCCTACTTCCACATGATCCATTGCATTGATCACATTTAACAACTAGTTTTATTTAATTTAATTATAGCAAAGTTTATTACATATCCAAGTGACATGAACAGTTGATTACGAGGTTACAAAATTCAAAAGCCGAGTTCTTTGTTAAATGATAAGTAGCAAAATACAATTAATAATTCTCCGAAGATGCTTGATGCAACAAACAAATTAAGTATATTGTACATATACTGTTTTATTAAATTTCACCTTCTTTCCATTAGTCCGTTTGGTTGGTTTGCAATTGCACTGAGCTTGGAACATAAGAAGGACACACTTGTGGGGGGCATGATTCGTATATCATTTGTGTAGACATGTTACATTTTTCTCCCATATTCACAGATTTGAAATATCCATCTTGTCCAATAATGTTGGCTATTTGGTTTTGTACCCAAACCACAGCAACTCTCTTCTCCTCGTCAATGAAAAAACTTCCAGGTTGAATACTAACCTCAAAACTAATGGTGAAACTCAAAAACTTGCTCCACGATCCTGCACCTGGATCAATCTTATTCGTGACCCAAATCTCTAATGCGTGGCCAGGGACAAAGCTTCCATGTAACACCGCGAGCTGCTCTTCTCTGACACAAGATAGAGACCCAAATTTACCTGAAGCTTGAGAATTAAATGGCAGAGGCAGCATTTTACCAAATCGCTCTGTTGTAAAATTGAAAGGGAGTATATACTCAATACTTTTTCCTCTGTCCTCTTTAGCCAAAAAATATGTATTTCCTTTCAAAGAAACACCACGTTGATAACTATCTATATACCATTCGGGATTGACATGGCAAACTTTGCATGTATTAGAACTCAAATTAAAGATTGTATATCCGAAAACCATTTCCTGGTTGATCCTATCATACTCTTCAAAAATCCCCAAGATTTTGTGATTACGGTTCTTGTCATATCCGAGAGCATATTTGTCTGCCCTTTTGGTTTCTTGTT